ACTTCAATCTTTTCTCCATTGATAAGAATGTTGTTTATTGGCCCAGTGGTGAGGATTTTTGTTTTCTTGACATTGAGATGTAATCCATACTAAAGGCTGTGCTCTTTGATCTTCATCAGTAAATGTTTTAATTCCTCTTCAGTTTCAGCAAGCAAGGTTGTATCATCTGCATTTCACAGGCTGTTAATAAGTCTTCCTTTTTACTAGTAGGAGTTCTCATTTAAAAAGTGAATTCCTTGGTGATCTTTATTTTTCTATATCATGCACCACAAACGGAAAACAAATGTGTAGTTTCTTCAAGTTGCTCAGTGTTATAATCAAATGGTTGGAGAGAAGGGGTTACTGGTCTGCTTCAGCCAGAGACTTTGTAAGGCCAAGTCTCCATTGGAAAGTCCCAGTAAGGAAGCCTTAGCTGCTTGCTGCAGGCTCTTCACTGAGATTATGTTACCTGGAGGGAAAGCACTTCCCAGAGCCATAGACCCTTGGAGACCAACCACACAAAGACTGATTTGCAAACCAGAATGTGAATGTATTTTTACATTTCCTCTAAGTGGGTGGTTCTGCTCAAAAACAAACAACAACTTTAGGTCAATAGTTTTTTATATAAAATTTTGTCAAAGGATATAGGTGATGGTAAGTTAGCATGACTAGCATGTAATAGACCTCACTAAATTGTGTATGTGAAAAATGTTGAATTGGCAAATGCTGTGTTATCTATATTTTTAGACAAACAACAAATTTGTGTAATGAGCACCTATCCAGGGGAAAAGAGAGAGAGAGAGAGACAGAGAGAGAGAGAGAGAGAGAGAGAAAGGAAAATAGAAATAGAGAGAGAAAAGGAAAAAGGACCTGAGTGTTCAACCAAGTGAGTTCCACAAGCTACCTCAGTAACTATGTTGGGTCCTGCGCCCTGGACACAATATCCCTAGATACTTCGTCCTAGTTGTTAGGATCAGAACACATGTGTTCACAACCTCTTTTCTTTGTTTATTATCAACCACCAGAATCATCTTTAATGGAATGCTTTATTTAACCTTGGTGGTGGTGGTTATGTGCTGTAGAGTCAGTTCCGACTCATAGTGACTTTGTACAGGGTTTCCAAGGTTGTAAATCTCTATGGGAGCAGAAAGCCTCATCTTTCTCCCACAGAAGCACTGGTAGGATAAGCACTGGACTGCTAACTACAAGGTCTGCAGTTCAAAGCCACCAGCTGCTTCTCAGAAACCCTATACAGGGTAGTTAATGAGTCAGAACTGACTTGACTGCACTTACCAATAGCATATTTAATGTGTCTGTGAGAAGGTAGGGACTACCCAACCATAGCCTTGTTGTCTGGTAAGATTGCTATGAAATCACAGCATCTTTTTTTCAAAGACATTTGCATTACAACATGTAAGAAGATACAACCTCCCATCCCACCAGAACTACCACAAAACCTTTTGTTTCTAAGTATGTCTTTCTAGGTTGTCTCATATTAATTTCCACTTCAGAAACTGCCATTTCAGAGGTTGATGTTTTCCAGTCTGTGTTCCCTTAATTTTGTGGTGGGTCATCTCATCCCATTCCTCATTATTCGCAAGTCATTTCCACTCATAGAGATCCTATAGGACAGTAGGACTGCTCCATAAGCTGTCCAAGACTGCCAATCTCTACAGAAGCAGAATGTCGCATCTTTCTCCCAAGAAGTAGCTGGTGGGTTCAAACCTCCAACTTTGCAGTTAGCAGCCATTGTGGCTCCAGGTCTCCTTCTGCTCTTCTCTCATAGAAGACCCAAATCTTCCCCCTTGTAGGGATCCCATTTAGTCTGTCAATGGCTTTGTTTTAATGTTAAATGTCTTAATGTTCCATGTGCCCCAATGTCCACTAAATGTCAGTGACAGTATCAGAAATGATGACCCACACCGAAATCACAGTGTCTGTTTTCACTGTCTTCCAGTGTCATCTTGCATTACAACATATAAGAAGACACCACCTCCAGTCCCACCCAGAACTACCACGAAACCTTTCATTTCTATCACAGCCCAGAGTAGCACAGAGTCTGCCCAGGATGCCTACATGGACGGACAGGGCCAGCGAGGAGACATTATCAGCCAGTCTGGACTCAGCAACTCCACAGAGAGTCTGGACAGTATGAAGGCTCTCACAGCCGCCATCGAAGCAGCAAACGCCCAGATCCACGGCCCCGCGAGTCAACACATGGGCAATAACACGGCCACTGTCACCACCACTACCACCATAGCCACGGTCACGACAGAGGACAGAAAGAAGGATCACTTTAAGAAAAATAGATGCCTGTCTATTGGGATACAGGTAACAAAGCTTTCCTTTCTTTCTTGTTTGCTTATTTGTTTTCAAAACAAAGATCTCACATAGATATTAGCCTAATATGGAAGCATAAAAAATAAAGGAAGAAGCCAGAAATTTCCCAGTGCATGTTCAGTGGACCAGATGTTGATGAAATGCTAAGTTTGATGTAAACGAATGCTATTGAACCTGGGTAAGTTACGGGTGTCATCACACGTGCAGTTACTTATAGACCCCATTTGGCTCTTCTCTAATATCTCCCCTTGGAGTTGCACCTGATTTTACTAGGAGTTTTCATTCCAATCTATTGGGGAATTGTGGCGATTCGGCTTTTGTTTCTTAGCCAGGATCTCTGGATCCTGAAAAATGTTAAGAGATGTCATGGTGAAGATGGGAAACAGTCATGCTTACCAAAATGGAGTGGAAAGGGAGAAAGCAAAGCTTCCCTTTCTGTTGCTGAAATGTTGTTGTTGTTAAGTGCCTTCGAGTCACTTCTGACTCGTAGCGATCCTGTATAGGCTGGTGAGCTTGAACTGTCGACCCTGTGGTTCAAACCGAGTTTGCCATCTAGCACATTAACTCAGGCCCCTGTTGTTGAAATAAGACCTTCAAATTAAGAAATGCAACACTTACTTTGTTAAAGGTATTTACTCTCTTGACATTCTGGGTGTTCTAGCTCTGTGTAGAACCAGATTTTCAAGTTATTGTCTCTAAACACCATACAATGTTAAAATTGATAAAAATTATAAAGGCATTGTTCTTGTCATTATTCAGTGCCATCATCGAGTCGGTTGTGACCCATAGCGACCTGTATAGGGTCTCCAAGGAGTGACTGGTGAGCTTGAACCGTCGACCATGCAGTTCAAACAGCTTTGCAGTCTGGCACATTAACCCACAGAGCCACACCAGGACAGTCTGTAGATTTTAACAACAGTTGTTATTTTTGGTCTCTAAATTGAATGCATGACTCAAAGTAGGATAATTAAACAAAGATAGACACAACCAAAAATACTAAAAAAAAAAAAAAAAAAAAAATTTTTTTTAAATGAATTCTTGCAGTTGTTGAGTATGATTCAAGCTCATGATGACAGCATGTGTTACAGAGTAGCAGGGGACTCCATATGATTTTTAATGGCTGTGATCTTTTGGAAGTAAATCTCCAGACCTATCTTCCAAGAAACCTCTGGGAAGACTAGAACTGCCACTCTTTTGTTTAGAAGTAAAACGCTTAACCATTGGTGTCACTAAGGGACTGCTAATCAAATGTAAAGTGACTTTAATTCCTAATATAAATTTTGATCCTCACGAAGGAAGACAAATCCAAGAATAACCTGGGTCATCAGGTTGTGTTACAATATGTTCAACATTATTGCAATATGAGAAAGAAAATGTGGAACATTTCGTATAGAGGTGGGAGTGAGAGAGAGCAAGACCAAAGTGACTAATAGTGTGGAACACAATAACTCACATCACAGAATCACCAGGAAAGAATGTGTATCGATTTTAGTGCAATTGTTGGCTATTTTATCACACATTTCATTAAAAACTACAGATAATTCCGTAGTTACTCAGTTCAAGCCACTGATTTTTGCTTCTCAAAGATAGATCAAACTGATTCTGCTTTGTTATTGTATCTGCTCAGGGTGACTTACCCTGCTAGAAGTTTTCTTCTCCCAATGGAGATGTAATTCTTTTTCTCCATTTTTGTTGTGCCATCTCCTTTTGAAAGTCTCCTTTGGATAGTAACTGTCTAATAACTTTATCCACACTGGAACATCTATAAAGCACATCATAAAGCCAGGCATGGGTACAGTCTCACAACAATGATGTATTTACAGTGAGCTCTGAACAGCACATCTTGAAGGACAATTAAACTTTCAACAGTAGCAATGCGTCAAGTGCCTTTTTGTAACTTGCAGGTTACCATGACACAAGTTTCCTAAAAGGACTTACAACACTTGTGCTTATGAGTAAACGACATGATGGGAGACCTAGCTCTCTACTGGAAGCTAACTCCCCTGCTTCCACCAGAGATTTTGAGGAGCAGGGAAGAGTGGAGGTTCAATTTTGTGTCATCCTCAACAATTACTTAATGTCTCTGGGCATTTGTTTCCTCATCTATCCCTAATAGGATTGTCTTGAGGATCCAGTTAAAAAAGCTTGCGTTGGATCTGGCACTTAGTTGCTGCCCAGTATTGTTCATTTTCTTCTACTACTTTAATGTTTAAGGAGCGCTGGTAGCACAGTGATTACAAGTTGGGCTGCTAACCTCAAGGTCAGCAGTTTGAAACTACCAGTGGTTTTCCACAGGAGAAAGATGAGGCTTTCTGCTCCCGTAAAGATTTATAGCCTCGGAATCCCTATACATGGTCGCTATGAGTCAGAACTGACTCCATGGCACACAGCCACCACCACCACTTTAATGTTTATTTATTGCTTGCTTCATTTTTTTAAAAATTAGTTAATACATTCCCATGGTTCTACATTCAAAATTCATATAAAGATAAGCTTCCCTCCCTTTCTTTTTCAATAGCCAGTTAGTTCTCCTCTCAGGAGGGAATCAATATAACCAGCTTTTGAGACACAATGCAGAGTTATTTTGTGCATATTTAAATAAATAGATGGCTTATACTGTCGCTTTTTAAAAAATGTTAGCACATACTCACACATATTGCATCTTGCTCTTTTCAATTAATATATTTTAGTGATAATGGTTTATTAGCCTTATATTTATTTTACTTTAAAGTTTCTGTATATTTCTCCTAATTCCCTCCCAGACTCAACTGGTTAGTTTTATAGGCTACTCTTCAAAGAATTCTTATTTACAATAAGTCTTTAATATATATGAAATAAAATTTATATTTTTAGTCCTGGTGTGGTGCTCCAGGATAATGCACTGGACCACAAGGTCTGTTTGAATCATAAGGTCAGTGGTTCAAACTCACCAGCTGCTCCTTGGAAACCCTATACAGGGTCTCTATTAGTTGGAACAAACTTGACAGCACTTAACAACAAAGGCAACAGTAAGATAGATTTATTCTGAAATCCACATATAATATTAAGGAGAAAACTTTTTGCTTGAGAAATCATCTCCCCTCTTAAATATGTGGAGTTTTCATTAGCAGTAAAAGTACTCTGACTGGCTTCAGCAAGATGATGAGCTAGGCAGATGTGCTGCATAAACCCCTCCATAACAAAGACACAGAGGCCAAATGAAACAGATATGACTGCTAATCCTGGAGCCCTAAGCTTCACAGGAAAGGTTAGAAAAGTAGATTGACTACCCACTAAGAAAAGAAACAGAACAAATTTGGTAGGAAAGGAGACAAATGGGTGAAGTAGGAGTCCTGGTGTGGCGCTGTGGGTAATGCGTCAGACTGCAAAGCCATGTGAACTGCAAGGTTGGCGGTTCAAGCTCACCAGCTATTCTTCGCAAACCCTATACAGGGTCGCTATGGGTCGGGACCAACTCGACAGCACTTAACAGCAACAACAGCATTGGCTGGTTTGACATGATGGGACAATGCTGAACTTTTGGCAAGCAGCATTTGATTGAGACAGTGGCCTGGAAATACAAATAAACACTGGTGGCTGATGACCAGTGGAATCCTCCCTTGTTCCCCATACCCTCCTGGTGACTAGAAGCATGACCAGCCCTTATCCTCACCCACTCATTGACCATTGATATGGCCTGCACAGCCCCTTCTCTGCCTAAGATCAGAGCCATGAACTCATGGATTGGGCACCAGGTACATCACCCCTGAGTCCAGAGACACCTGAACTCTGCCTCATCAGACCAACAGAATGGGCCATGCTGGGTGTCAGTCAGCCCTGGGAGACCAAGAACTCCTTCCATAATCAGCTGTCCTCTGGGCCGGAAACCCAGGATAAGTACAGTGACCTCAGCCACCTTCTGACCTGTAAGAAACTACTTCCAGATCAGTGTCCTGGCCCCAGACAACATCTAGGCCAGCAGGAACTCCATCTAGAACCAGACATCTCACTCCCTCCTCCCTTCTCCGCTCCTTTCCCCTCCCCCTGAAAGCTCCTTGGCTGGTTCATACTGTGTGTTTGTGTGTGTGCCCTGTTCCCTGCAATTTCCCTTCTCTGGGTCCTGCCTCTGCCCTAGCTTTCTCACTTTTTTTGTTTTGTTTTGTTTTCTCATTTCTCTCTTGTCCCTTTTATCTTTTTTTTTTTGTCTTTTCTCTTTACTATTCACCCTCAAGTGTGCTACATGAAGAGCAAACAGAGAAAAGTACACACTGACCATCTCTATCATTGTTGTTAAGTGCTGTCGAGTCAGTTCTGACTCATAGAGACCCTATATAGTGTTTCCAAGGAGCAGCTGGTGAATTTGAACCAATAATCTTGTAGTTCAAATTGACCTTGAGGTCCAGTGCATTAGCCCAAGCACCACATTGTTGTTGTTGTTGTTATTGTTGTTAGTTACCTTCGAGTCTATACTGACGCATAGTGACCATATGCACAACATAATGAAACACTGCCCAGTCCTGGGCCAACCTCACAATCATTGCTACGCCTGAGCCCATCACTGCCGCCACTGAGCCAGTCCATCTCGTTAGGGGTCTTCTTCTTCTTCTCTGACCCTTGACTTTACCAAACATGATATCCTTCTCCAGGGACTGGTCCCTCCTGATACTATGTCCCAAGTATGAAAGATGAAGTGTGCCATCCTGGCTTCCAAGGAGCATTCTGGCTGTAATTCTTTTTCCAACACAGATCTGTTTGTTCTTCTGGAACTCCATGGTACTTTAAATATTCTTCTCCATCACGATAATTCAAATGCATTAATTTTTCTATGGTCTTCCTTTTTCACAGCACCACATATCCACCAGAAAATAAGTGATGAGTGTCTAAGAACACACCAATACATAATTATCAAATTAATACAAATAAATAACATTACAATGTTTCAGAGACACCAGACAATTTCAGTTCACATAAAGAAACAAGACAGAATGGCTCAAACAAAGGACACAGAAATT